GACCTCTCTGAACGAGTGTCCGGGTTCGGGAGGAGCGGGTAAGGAGCCCTGGCCTGAGCATCAGGTCAGCTGAGCTGAAAGTGGACCTCTGGGATGCGGCAACCTGGCAAGGTGGCGGCCATCATAGGAGTCAGAGCAAACTCTTGGGGTGTCAGGAAATCAGAGATTTCAGAGAAAACGTTCTGAAACAGGTGTCCCTTTTCAGAGCTTTGAGAAGGACTTCTAAGCACTTACGGTCCTTTAAAAGACTAATAATAAAAAAAATGAACTCATCTTAGCAGCAAGGAATCCTGATGTTTTCAAAGCTCCTAGTTAATTAATATTTGGAAATAACTCCAACTGTGAAACAGAATTGTAAATTATTAAGCTTAATACATTCCTCATTTTATTTACTTCTTTGTTCATTAAAGCCGGCATTCCTCACAACTGTGTAAGGTAGGTCTTACGTTTGCCTTTTAAGATGAGGAGGCAAGTTCAGCGTGGTCGAGTGACGTACCTAACATCTCTAGCTCAGGGGCGTCTCATTTTGAAGTCTGGAAAGAACTTTGGTCCTGGGAGGTCTACATGGAAGGGGAAGAAAAGGATCTTAAAGAATTAAAAAAGGGGCCATTAGCACCGTTTGCTTTTTTACAATCATATGGATACAAAAACAAGTAAAGAAAATTTATTAACTGAAAGAAAAAGAATTAAAAAAGGAAGAAAGGAAGAAAGGAAGGAAGGAAGGGAGAGAAATATTAAACCAGTGTTTTTACCATACAATAAATTCGATCATACAAAAGTATGACATCACTATATGACTAAGTGTGGGGCACTCTGCCAGATGTTACAAATACGAAAGGTTATCAAGCCCCCTAGATTTGAGATCGCAATTCAGTTGGAGATACAGACCACACAAACAAAAGGCAAACAATGGTTCAAAACAGCACAAACCAATTGACAAATGCTACAAGGTGCAATCCTCTGCCTTTCTCCGCCACGTGCAGACTTGACCACACGCTCAGTTTGGAACTGTCTTCCGTGAGCGTGGGAGACCTTCAGCAAACACCAGTCGAGTGAATTCTCTTTTATGTATTTAATACAGGGCGAAAGGCAGGGTGCGTTGCCATGAAAACCGGGATTGCAGGGGGCTTATGGGATGTTTTGAAATGTGACGAAAAGGCAAAGTTTGTGTGCAAGCACTGGGCAGAAGGAGTGACTCGCCCACCAGAGCCCACCACAACTCCCGAACCCAAATGCCCGGAGGACTGGGGCACCAGCAGCAAGACAAGCTTGTGTTTCAAGGTAAGTAAGTATCAATTATGAAGCTAGTACAAGAATTCGGAATATGCTTCAGCCTAAATAATCACCTAACGACTTAAAAAACAACAGACAAACAATAAAACCAAAACACAGCTGCCCAAGATCCACGTGTAGAAATTCTGATTGTATTGACCTGGGCAGCAGTTGTTTGTGAAGAGCTCGTTGATTGAACATTAATGACCAGTTGCATGTGGACCACAAACACAACCAACCACACAAGCACAACTCACAGACGTCTTTCCTCACCTGCTCAGCTGCTACCCTTCCCTCCCTGCTCCTCTCATTTGCCCGGGGCTTTCGAGGTCTGGTCTGGGCTTGCAATTCTTTTCATCTTGATGGAAATTTCTGTGTCCCCTCATGCTATCCTCTTGCATCTCGTTTTTGCCTTGGTCGTAGAGCCCAGGTTTTAGCTAACTTAATGGATAAACTCATCTGCAATATGCCACATGGGCATTCTAGAGAGAATGCTCCATTTTTTTATGATTTATTGATAAAACATGGCTTTCCAGTGACCATTAAATGACAATTCAATGTTTTATTATTTTATACATTTCTAGGTTGGGCCATCCATTTTCTTGTAAGCCAGTCTGACAAGGTTGATGAATTGTGTCAGAGTGAGGGTGTCCAGTCTTTTGTGTCTCAAGAGGAGTATGGCTGGCTGAGCTATGACTCCCACTGACAGCAACAGAGATCCAAGAGCTGTTCAATCCAGTGTGGTTAGTCAGGGCTGAAACATAATTTGCATAGAAGGGGATGTATCTGGCCAAAACAGAAGAGATTTGTAAATGGATTATTTGAGGACTAACACAAAGGAAATCAGGTATATTATTGTTACCTCTGGGAACTTTTGAGTCACTACACAAAGGCCAGATCATCCTAGCCACAGCCCTTTGCCTAAGGGTGGTAGGCTATGGAGATTTGGTGGCAGTTTTTTGAAAGAAGCAGCAGAATTATTCAGAGCTGAGAAGTGAACAAGGGGTTCCAGCAGAGAGAATATCTAGGGGGATGTTCAACAAATTAAAATATGCACCTCACTAGAAATGATGCAGTTTTAGAGGTGCTCAAGTAGAGTTTGTTTGGGAATATATAGACCACCTTTGTAGGTATTAAGATGTGAGAATTATTAATAACATCTAGGAGATAGTAAATTCATTTAAGAAAATAAAATTTTATGTCACAGTCTAGCAAGTTGAAGTGCTCGTAGGAGTCTTGGGAGCTACTTATGTGGATACTTAATCAAGACACCTTTTTCCAGGTAGCTCGAGTTAAGTTAGGGACGAGATGAAGGTTGTCTGGGGTTGCTTGATGACCACTGGGGAGCCATAGTCTATAGTCCAAAAGTCCCTTTTTTCACAAGCCTATGAGGTGGGAGCCATGACTCACGATAAACAATGAATGAAAAGTCAGTGGCCACAGTTAACTCCTTACTGTTTACATACTGGTAAGTGTGTCCCCAGCTGTCACTGTTGATTGCATTTCACTGTTCTACTTGCAGTCCTCTGAAAAATATGACATAGTCCTTAAATTATATAATCTATTAAATGTAGTTTAACGTATAACACATTCCTGCTAAATGAGTGTCTGTTGTTGCGTGTGTTCAATAGGTAAAATATGCAACCATAAAGAAAAATACCAGGCAGTTTTAAAGGACAATACCAACAAAGTGTTGAAAGACTGCCTGGTTATTCACTATTTAAACAGGATAACAAACTATGACATGGTTTTAGGAAGGTTATTTTCCTTATTCATGTTGTTTCTCTGCATCAAAAGTTGCTTTCATTTTTTTCTCATTTTAATGTCACTTTTCACACTTAGCCAATCTATTTAACCCTGTTTCCAACAAAAGCTATATACGTAACTCATATACCTAAACCTTCTAAGATTTTAATCTAATTTCTCCTCTGCTATAAAATAATATTATTTTAAATAATAATTTTGTTTTCTCAATGAAATGATCCCCCAGTTTTGTTACCAAAATATTCACTTGCAAATTGATTTTTAAATCCAGAGAATGACATTGTTTTGGGCCATTGCAATGTTTTGCTTTTGCTTTTCGGCAAATGGAATCTCATCAAAAGTAAATAATTGTTTCTCTTGATTTGACAAACTATGAAGTATAAAATAATTTCTGACACCATATCATCTTTAGCTGTTTGCAAAAGGAAAACATGAGAAGAAAACATGGTTTGAATCCCGAGATTTCTGTAGAGCTCTGGGGGGAGACCTGGCCAGTATCAACAATAAAGAGGAACAGCAAACAATATGGCGGTTGATAACGTAAGTATCTTTTCTACCTAACACTCCTTTCTTTTACCTATTTGGTGCTCATAATGTGGAGAAAATTCTTATAGTTACGAAATTTTGGGCTCAGGAGGCTACTCTAAGAAACTGTATCATCTTCCAACTCCATGGGCCCTTTCTGATCTAGTTTCACTTCCACATCCTTTAATTTTACAGGTGTAAATTCTGTGATGAATTGCTCTATAAAAGTACAAGACACTCAGTACATATTTGTTACATGAATGAGCGAATGAATGACAATCTTTCAATGCACTGAGATTATTTATTCTCAAGTAGCGGCCCATTTTTAGGATATTTATGGGATGAACCAAAATGAACATCTATTGCAGAAATTACATTTGGTCATGAAATCTCTTTACTCGTGTACT